GATTGACTTCGCCTCCAAGGCGAAAGGAACAATATGCGGACGTTCAAAAGAAAAAAAAGAAAAAACAAAGAGAGAAGTCAATCATTCTGTTACATCCATGTTCCGGAAGAAATATTTTCAATATAAAAAAGGTAGAGGAATAATACAAAAATACTGTAAAACTAGCGCCAGATTACGTACAATTTGTAGTATTCGCAGAAATTTATCATTCGCCAGTATAAACCATCCATACTGCTTGTGAATTCAACGATCTGTGGTTTGCCATATAGTGTAGCTCTACACATAAACCTACGAATTCATTGATTCGCAGTGATTTGCGCCCTTTGACTTCGTAGGGAAATGGTTCCGTTGCTAAATTGACGTGAACGGTAAACAATATACATGCACTTGGTGAATCCTCCCATCTGCATCGCTAATTGATCTCACGTGACTGGCAAATGGCAAATTTAAAAATCGCAAATTGTGCATAGCCTGACATTAACTTAAATGGTTACAATGAGCGGCAGAGTACGTCGGAATGGTGTAAACATGGTCTAAAGTCTTAAGTCGCAAGAAATACCTTTTGTGTTTCATGTATATGTATGTATCGTGTGAGAAAGATGAAGAGGTGCACGAGGCGCACCCTGGAATATGTTGTATATATGTATATAACTTGTCGGACCAATATTACAGGAAAGTCAGCACCAGCACAAGGGGAACAGGAAATGAAAGCTCCGAAAGAACGGACATGGAAGAACGAATAATGACGGACAGAAAAGAACAAAGAACCGAGCAAGAGAAAAGGATAGAAGAAGGAAGGTACTGCACTAGGTACAAAGAACTGAGAACAGAACATATCCCGAAGTACCTACAAAAAAAATATAAAGGAAGAGACCAGAGAATGATCGCAAGGTATAGATGCGGAAACGAGGAAGAAGGAAGCAAGTACTGGAGAAAAGAAGAAGAAAGAGTATGTAGAATATGTGGCGAGAAAAAGGAAACGTTAGAGCATCTGAGGTCCGACTGCGTGGAGACTCTAAGGGATGACAGAAATATCAAAGACATCTTGAAAGATACAGGAGAAGGAGCAGATTGGATGAGGAAAGTGATCAAACTCAGGAAGGACCGAGGAAGCGAGCAAGGACCAAACGAAATTGATAGCAACGCTATGTAACATAGTTTTTTTTGTCAGTTTAAAGAAATGTAGCACCCCCTTTCAAGGCCGAAAGGCAAATGAAATAAACAAAATATATATAACTTGTCGGAGATCGGGATTGAAGAATGATTTAATCTACAAAGTGATTTTTGAGGTATTTCATCATACCAAAAGTTCTGAAACGCTTTACGCCGATTACCTTCATTAATTCCTCATCACAAATCGCAAACTGTCTATTCTCAGGGTCCTGTAAAAAGTCATTTTCTTGGTAACATGATTTTTGTTAAGTACATGCATGTAATATATGTATATATATTTTTTCCTCTAAGATATAGCGAAGGAAATAGTAAAAAGAAAATTTCAAGATATAGGAAATAAGTACATCAAGATTAAATTGATTACAAATAATACTTACATAAAGATTCCTCTCTTTGATGATACGCCATACTTTCTTCACGACTTGAGGTCGAGTCATTTGTTCTGCGCCAACAACCGCGGCGAGCTCCGGAGACAACGTGATAACACGCGTCACACGCGTGTAACCCCCTCCCTTGCCTTTGCTACCACCTCCCTTCTTTGCTGTACTACTCGGAGCCTTTTTGTTTTTACCCCAGTCCTCGTCGCTATCACTATCGCTTCCCTTCTTCTTTCCTTTCTTTCCGGGCTTAGCTACAAAAAATAAATTAACACATTTCACGTGAGATTTTAAGATGGAATCATGCCGGGGAATAAAACTGTTCTAGTACAAAGAATTAATATCTTACTTTTTTTAGATGTAACTTTAGGTTTCTTTGGACTGTATTCCTCGTCGCTAGCATCATCATCGCTAGCGCTTTCCTCATCATCGGAGGATCCCTTCTTACGCTTGTTAGGAGTTTTTTTAGCAGGATTTTGCTGACCTGGCTTTTTCTCCTCCTCCTCTTCTTCAGATCCTTCTTCCTCTTCCTCTTCGCCGTCCTCGGACTCTTCACGAGCGGCCTTCTTCTTTTTCTTTCCTCCACCGTGTTTCTCTTGGACGCATTCCATGACTAAATCATCCACCTCCTTTTTCCTATAAAGAATGAACGTAATAGATATTACTTTATATGTGATCAACGTAGGAATAATCCGCGAGCCGAGATGTGAAAGAATGTCAGGGGAGGAACGAGGTGGTAACTTGTGTCTATAATGGCAGTTCCACTCAGAGATCCCCTGTTTCTTTTTCTAGGACACCGAGAGACTCTTCTGCACAAATTACAGTGCACAAGTGCCTATTGTATCCGTTTCCAAGTTTTTGATTCAATTTCAAGGACGGCATGATTAGTACGATTCAACAATTAATAAAACAATTAAATGAGTTTTTTATACCGAGAGGTAAACTACGTCGCAGTAATGTAATCCGCGAGCACACGTGATAAATCGACTGACAAAGAAATGATTTGTTTTCCCATTTAACATTAAAAAATGCAGCATTAGATTATCTTGTACAAACTTTTATATTTTACGTCCAGAATTCGTATCTTTAATATTACCGACTCGTACTTACGGCTGATACACATCGGCAACTTCTTTTAAAATATAAACATTAAAGTCAAATTATTCATACGGTAAAAAACAAGACAACTTGATTCGGCCGTTAAAAACGGTCTTTAAACGTCGCAGCTTTGGCGCGAGTAAACGCGCTCGTATATCGAGAGATATTCCGTTGCGTTGTGTAATATGAATCGACTTGATATCAAAATTAGCACTGTCGCCATTTTCGCGAGCGGCAATATAAGAGATCGCCGTATCTTATCATATATCAAAATACAAAGTGCCAAGATGCGCGAGCAAAAATATTTTTCTATAATCGTATTTCATCACTGTATATATATACAGGGTGAGTCTTTCCATATCGGACAAAATTTTTGAGAAGGTAGAACGGATCGAGATGAATGGAAAAGTCCTGTACCATTTTGCAATTTTCGTAATAGTTAACGAGTAATTAATTATTAAAAATCGTCTTAGGCCGGCCTACCGCCCAATTCGAGCGCGTGGCAAGATGTGACCGCCCGGCGATCGATATTGCTATGCGCACATCTCGCCACGCGCTCGAATTGGGCGGTAGGCCGACCTAAGACAACGATTTTTCATAATTAATTACTCGTTAACTATTACGAAAATTGCAAAATGGTACAGGACTTTTTCGTTCATCTCGATCCGTTCTACCTTCTCAAAAATTTTGTCGGATATGGAAAGACTCACCCTGTATATATATATCGCGTCTTTTCGTTCGTCGCTTACCTTTCTGCGAGGTCAACATAGAGTTTCTTTTCGATCTGTTGCCTCACTTTCTTAGCAGTCATCGTCCTCAGGTCAGCATCCTTGAGGATGGCTAAAAAAAGAATTAACGAACAAGATATGAATGCACGTTGCAATTGCGACATGTTGAAACAATAGTTTAAAACAAAAAATGGAACACAGGATAACGTCAGGTATCATTTCGTGCATTTTTATTCCCGCTTCAATCCGCCGATATCAATTACAAAATATAACTCTGCGAAGAAACATTCTTTATTTATCTTCTTCATCGCAGAACGATTTTCATCTCAACATCGCATAGCTTCATCTTTATTATCTGGAAAGGATGAGGTAAGAGGAGGGGGGAGCCCCAGTCAAAAGACCCGCGTAAATTCGGCCCCGCTCGCGTCTCAGGAGGCTGCATCGCCCCGCCATTCATCGTGGCGTCTAGTACGCGTCGTGTGTACACGCACCGGCATAAATGCTGTCCCTATCCTTGTGAGATGCACGCACACAACTAGAGTCCCTGTAGTTGTGTGCGTGCACCTCACAAGGATAGGGACAGCATTTATGCCGGTGCGTGTACAACACGTATACGCGGGGATAGTTTGGTTTCCCGCGTCGGGGGGATCTAGTGAATATCGAACGCAAATGGCCGCCGCCGCGGAGCGCGCGCTGCACAGCCTTAGGCTGAAATCACATGATGCGGAATAGGAGTACGGAATAGAGAGTGCGTTATAGAAACAGGCAATCAGAGCGATCAGAGCTTTGCCGTATCAACGAGTGACGGAAATGTCTGGCTCTGATTGGTTGCTTTTATGACGCACGTTCTATTCCGTACTCCTATTCCGCATCATGTAATTTCAGCCTTAGGGTACTATTACATTTGTCGTACGACAAATTTTTCAAGTGTGTCGATTGGCCGCTGAATAGAAAGTTTCTAGATACTCGAGAATTTTACTATCCTTCAGCCAATCAATACGCTTAAAAATTTTGTGGTACGACAAATGTAATACCAGCCTTACATACAGGTCTGGTAACTCATATGGTGGGGGTAGGTCGCTTAGCGAAGAAATTTTGTAGTTCTTGTAATGGCCACAGCGTTGCAGTCTATGTTCTTTTGGTGGCGAGGGGCGCTGGAGGCCGAGGGGATATGTCGAGTTTACCGTGCATGGGACAAAGACAGACAGATATCCCTCCCGGCCTCCAGCGTCCCTCGCCACCAAGAGAATTTCCTCGCTAAGCGACCTACCCCCACCATCGAAAATTAGAGGCAGTCCCCGGACCTGTATACAAGACCGTGGACGGGGCCGAGAAAGCCAGCTTTTTATAGCGAACGAGGAAAAATCCGGGCTCTGGTCAGGGCACCGAACTGGCCGGTCGAAAAATCGCGGGCGGATTGCACTCGGCGGTCGCCCCGGCGGTCCAGCCGCACGCCCGGTACGTAGGTGGCGAGATACGGCTCGAGTGTGCCTCGGCGGTTGCAATGGCCGGCGTGGGGGCCCCACTCGGGCACGTACGTGCGCGCCAGAGTCGTCACGTCGCAAGAGGAAAGCGGCCGTTTTCGCCCGTATTCCCGGTGCGTTGGGCGCGCGTTACCCGCGCCGACGGCGCGCGCGGCACGATTCGACGTCAGTCCGGGCGCGAAATGATCTACATCGCGCGATATCGGCACTTACCGGCGACCTCCTTGCGCAGCTCCTCCTTCGAGATTTCGGTCATCTTTGACATTATATAGGCAAAGTCGGCCATGGTAGATACTACTCGCTGTGCGTACTGCTGCTAACGCTGCTAACTGAGCCCAGTGTTGCTGACTTCGCTTCTGAGAGTTCTGAGCTTCTCTGCACGGCACTACGGCAGTCGAGTGAGTCGAGCGCGTGGACAACAGATATGTCCGCGCCACGGTCTTGCAACTCATATGGTGGGGGTAGGTCGCTTAGCGAAGAAATTTTGTAGTTCTTGTAATGGCCACTAGCGTTGCACTCTATGTTCTTTTGATGGCGAGGGACGCTGGAGGCCGGGAGGGATATCTGTCTGTCTTTGTCCCATGCACGGTAAACTCGACATATCCCCTCGGCCATGGTGGAAGTATACAAGGTGAACCATTGCGCATGAAAAGAGGGGGTAGCCTTCCTTCCGGCCAATAAGCGGCGTGCTTTTTGTGTGGCGGCAGTTTGAACGGTCAAACAAATCATAACCCAACCTAATCTATAAGCAAAAAAGCACGGCTCTTATTGGATGGATCGTCCCCACTACTTTTAGGCTACTGCGCATCCACGGGAATGGTTCACCTTGTATATTCCACCATGCCCTCGGCCTTTGGCAACACTGACTGCGCAATCCCACGTTCCGCGATCGGCGCCGCCGGCGCGGGGAGGAGGAGGAGGAGGAGGACGTCGACGACGACGATGGGGGCCAGTCCCGCTGTTGCGTAGTAGGTAAAGTACGTTGGTGTGCGGAAGGTGACGCGTGTTCGCGAAGGGCTCGTCCGAGGAAACGGCATGATGATCAGCGACACCGGTTCACCCCTGCACGCGTGGCGCACGGCCGTGATCGTCACTGGCGAACTTAGAACTAAGTGTATCAGCAGTGACAATGCGTTGTGATCTTAGTTGTCGTTGTACGAAAAAGTTGAGGCCGCCGTCGTCGCCGCCACCGCCGACCCCGTCGCCGACGTCGCCGTCGTCGTCGCCGTCGTCGTCGTCGTCGCCGTCGCCGTCGTCGCCGTCACCGGGCGTGCGTTGTCGTTGCTCGTCCTGATATTTCGCACCGGTATCCCGACACGGTCCCCCGTGGGATGGCAGCGGCCCTAAAGAAAAATCACTCACGCAGAAGATTGGCCGCCCTCACATTCCTGTCCAACATCTCCCTCGACGGCAGCCACCGGGACACCAAGTTCGCCGTCCTGTCACGCGGCGGACCGTGTCAGGCGCGCAGGCTTAGCGATGGCCAGGCGGAACAGCAGGCGGTGCTGGAGGCGTGCCGGAGCGCCGGCCCCGAGGCCTCCGCCGAGGAGGCGCTAGACGGCTGCCCCACGGAGGACGCGCACGACCACCCGCTCAACGAGACGATAGAGCAGGACAGCTCGCCGCAGCCGGCGCACAAGGGCGCCGACCGTAACTCCTTCAGCTCCGACTCGGACGGGCTACTCACCCCCGCCAAGGCAGCGGTCACCATGTTCTTGGAGCAGGAGAGAAATCACCTGCAGTTCCCTTGCGGCATGCACAGTTCGTTTAGAGAACGGTAAACGCTCGCGCCTCCGCTTTAGATTAAGTTTACGCCGATATAAGCGACATCGCGCCCGTACATGTCCGTGTGACATAACGCGGGCAACGGTTTGCTCCGAATTGTAAGCAGCCGAATTGAGAGACACGTAATGCATATCGTATATATATATATATATATGTGTGTCGACTTTTTCGTCCTCGGTAAAGTGTGAAGACAAACACGATATTGTTTATCACAAGTAAATAAATAACACGGTTTTGTTATCTCATCTCTTCAACGTTTGTTTCGCAAATAGGTCGCGAGATCGCCCGCGATAATACAACTGGTCGAATGTAAACGGCCGCGCGTCTATTATTTTGCACGGTTTTATATTTTAAATTAATTCGCGAAAGTTCGATGGCTTGTACATTACGAGAGTAGTCCTTTTGATAAGAGGAAGCATGAACAATTAAGCGCGCGTGAAAGTATGTGCGCCATAATATTCCCTTCTCAAAGACCGTCTCGGTTCAGATAGGATTGAATGACACTTAATGGATTCAGATAACATTATCAAGCGCGTCTACAGTATCACAAACAAAAACATCGTGAAACCTGATTGCATTCCAGTCATTGCGCGCATATATGGTGCATAGAATCGTACACACGTTAATTAAGATTGTTTTTCGCTCAACTGTGGCTCTTAACGAATTTTGCAATTGTTTTTTTTGGGGGGGGTCCAAATAAATGCGTAGATAAATTTTGCACAATAAGAATTTAAAGCCTTTCCTAATTAAACTTTGTGGAGGCAAACAGAGTGTGATCTTACCTTGAATTTTGTTCTAAATTGGGCCTTTTTTTTCTCGTAGAATGTTAATTTACGAGTTAATTGTAAACATGTTCTATTTAAAATGGAAATTAAGGAGGAATTACTGAATTAATTTCCGCTAACAGCAAACTGGCCTTTGAAAACCAGGGGTCAGAGGAGCAAGGATAATGTCGCACGACACTTCATTGTTTTTCTCTCTGAATAATAAACACGTATTCTGTACATGTACTTGTGCATTTCAATGTTTCATTTAATGGAAAAAAAATTATATCCTTAGAACGGGGACTACCGGAAGCGACTATTCTTTACCGGAAAGACGTGTGGGCTCTCTACAATATAAGAAGCGCATAAGTCACCAAACGTCTACGCTTTCGGAAGATATTAAGCATCAATACAATAGTAGCAACGAAAGCATTGGCTCCGTACATTCAAAAGCACAATCGTCCAAACCAAAGATAAAGGCAGTGAACAATATGCAACCAGTTTCTACAAATAGTAGCATAATACCAGAGATTACGAAGGAATTGAAGGAATTGCGTTTGATACAACGGCCTGTGAACGGCTGTAAATTTGGAGACGATAGAATGGTTTTGGTATCGAACCAACATGTGCCATTTGTAATATTTTCTGCTATCTCATACAATAAAGGACAACGTTCCAGTTGGTAAGACTTGCACTCGATTCCTATGGAAGTTATTTAACTTGCATGTAAATTATTCTCCTTTATCTATTGTCTGCCTTTTTTTAGTTGAAGATCTGTAATTTACTAAATTTTAAGTGAAAATTTTACTCAGGAGAAAAAGATTTTTTAAAAAGTTACAACTCATTCCAAACTTTTCAACGTTACATATGTTTGCAATATTTTATTAAATTTTATTTTAAATTCGTATTAAAGAACATAAAACCTAGAAATATTAAAATATATTTAAATGTATCGTTATCACTTTTCTTTCTAGTTTGGAGTTCATTGTCTTGCTACCTGTAGATTATATAATATTTTGATCACAATACAAATTTATCCCATTTGATTTTATTTTTAAAAATAATGTTCTCCAGTATAATGTTTTTAACAGCATTTTATTATGATTATTTATAGGTCGGAATTACGTAAAGATACATGTCGAAGGAAAAATGTGTCATCTCAAAGACCATTATCAGCAATTAATGACAGTATTGATCCATTTGGATTGCTGGGTATAGAACATGCCAAGGACGGCCAAGTATTAAAAAATATATTGTTTTATTCCTCTGATTCTGACATCAGAAAACTAATTTAACGATGACACGCTCAATTATCAATTAATTCTGTAGGAAATATCTTACGGCCAACTGCTTGTACCATCTCGGCAATTTCAAAGGGACAAAAAACTGAATCTAAATGAGAACGAACCTATGGAACTTACGCATTTTATACCCAATAAACATCACGTGGTACAAAGGTATTGCAATAAATAATGTTTATAGTAGAATAAAAAGTAAAAGCATTATTTCCATTTTATGTTTCATTTGGTATCACAGTTCATATAACTGATTGTACTGTATATATACACACATACGCACACACGCACATAAACAATATATGTGTATCCCTTTTTATGTATTGTTTTTATTTATGTATCCTCTACACATCAAGCTTTTAGTTAAGATTTAGAATTAAAAGAAATCGTTAAATATAGATACATTTTTTTACTTTATTCCATATAACAAGATGTCTAGCTCTTACTGTTAATAATATTATAACAAATATAATTATTTTTAAATAAATAAAAGGCTGACTCTGTTGATAATAATTACAAAAGGGGCAGTGAGAGCCAAATATAAATACAAGTATATTTGTGTTTATATACAAATGTAGAGGAAAGTCTCCTATTATGAGGTAGGATTTTAATATGCGATAGTGAGTTTTCTGCTAAATTAATAGGGAGCCACCATGAATTTATTGTCCTTGAAGGAAAATTTGTTTGGTGGAAAATTCATTGTTAGATCGTGTAATCGTTGCAGAAACGATTTGCGATTGAATTTGGATGTTGAAAACCTGCTATCTCATATTAAAAGCCTATCTCATAATAGGTAACTCTATTTATATTGGACTCTCGCTGCCCCTGTTGTAATTTAATAATTTTTTTTCAAATATTTATGCATAGAAACAAACTGGGGAACTTTACTAGTTTCGGAAAAATTATCTTGGCAATCATTCGTAGTTTAATAATTCGCACAGTTGCGGTACTCTAAATATTTTTAAAATCTTTTTCAAAATCATAGGTAATACATGCATGGTTTCATATATCATATATTTGTTTTTATAACAAAACATCAACCATCTTTTTGCAGGACAAAAACAATTACTTGGAATGTGGATCACAAAAAATGGTAAAAATTATTGTACAATATATGTGTAATGAAATATAGAAACGTTAGATAGAATTAAATGTAAGACGTACAGATACAAGGGTCTCTACAATAAGTATATTTCTTCAAATTTTATTATAATTCTGCAAAAGATGTGTTGTAAAAATCAGTCATTAGATCACTCATAATCATTTTATAATATCTACTTGGTAATGATAATGATTGCATTTCATAAGTAAGAGATGTAACAAATACTTGTTTTACTAACATACAGCGCGAAAATTTAACAATGTTACTATATATATTCTATAATATAATATATTCTATTTAATAGAACATAACATTTTGTTATATTCTAAAGTTAATTGTACTAAAGGGCTTATTTATATAGACAAATTATATATTAAAATATACAGGGTGGGGCAATAACTATTAGGACCTTAAATATCTTCGAATCTATAAGGCCCAGAGGAAGATTTGTGTAACCAAAATTCCACGGTACGAAGGGGGCTATCATAACAGCAA